GTCGTCCTTTCCACCTAATGCAGTACCACTCTTTGTTGGCAAAATATGCTGATAGTGTCGATTCATGTGTCAAAACCCGTTCTACATAAAATGCATTGTGTTGTCGGTTTTTGGGAGTTCTGTACAAAATAGGTCCAGCCAAAAAAGGTCAAAATAAGCTGCGTAGCTGTTGGACAGTAGTTTTACATAGAAAACGCATATCTCAGATTGTTTTTCTTCTGCACTCTGAAACAATTGCGTCAAAGAAATGAAAATGCTATTGGTTGAAGGAATCTCGCCAACGTCCATTGGCAGTCAAATTCACTATCTGAAGTTCCTGCATGCTGAAGATATTCCTTCGATCAAAAGCCCTCGAGAAAACCGCAGAAGGCTAGAACTGTTCCACAGTTTGACTTCCAAAAGACTGTGCGTCCATAGATGGCCAACATGGAAATCTTGACTAGCTAACTCTAGGCCTACTCAAAGATTGGAGTTAATCGCATTAGCTGACACTCTCACAGGATTTTCTGATAGAACAGAAATAAGTAAAGAACTGTTATCAATAAATCTTCAAAGACTTCATGGGCCAGATATACTACAACCGGTTTCATAAAAGCATTTTGGCAGCATCATATCACTGGTTCAGTAAATCACCGTCGAAAATCAGCCCTCCAATGTTGAATACCGGATTGCCGGAGAATGGTCCGTATTTATCAAGAAAGAATTCACAGAATTGTTTCTATAGCCTTAGCTTTGACCACCCGTGAGGTATTTCAGAATAAACTTTTACGCAAGTGGTCTCTTCACTTGAAGATAAAGAATTATAATCAAAATGCCTTTTATTATCTAACTTCTTCAGTAGATTTTATTTTGCCTTCACTTGATAATAAATGTAAAGCTTTAACAGGGATATATTTCGGACTACAGCAACGTAGTTCACAGTGTTTAGAGGGATTCAGGTGAATCAGAAAGTTTTCCAGGTATTATAGTTTACACACAGAATTCACATTACCCAAACACATCGTCCACAATACAACAAAGCTTGTAATAGGCTTGCCTCACAGATACGCTCTGATTTGTGTTCAAATGCACGTCGATCTGTTCTGTTTGCGCCCAAATACAGAAGACTTTCAAACACGTAGAGAAGTGTGCAACACTTCCATATATTTGTACGTGGCACTTCTCTATGATTCCCGGATAGTAGTTTTGTGATTTCCCTACGGTCATATTCCAACTCCATATTCGTAGTGTCTATTAAATCTTCTCACCTATTTGTGGCAGTTGAGTATACATGCAAGGGTGTAAAGTAGCACTCACTTTCTTAACTCAACTTGTCCGTTCGTTGAAAACAAATGTTCATAATGTTTTTTTAAACTAGGTTTATCATTTTTGAAAGTTTTGGTTTCATCTTCTGTGGTCCCGTTATGCCGTGTGGATTGTTTTCGAGGACGTCGCCCATCTGAGTTGGTCATTTTCCAGTCACACAACTAGACCCTGATGGCTCACGATGTTTCCAACATTAATGATATTTTACGCAGCTTATCTTGTAGACAAGCAGAGAAAATCATGTGGATTAAACATATGGAACACAAATAGATAAATAACACTAGACTTATCAGAACTGATGTGTTAGGTCAAGAGTTTATCACCGTCAGAAATAGATAAGAAATCATTTTTACTTTTGTGTTAAATGAAACAATATTCAGGTTAGACCTGCGTTGTGTATTCTTCGCCTGCTTTGATTCAAAGCGGACAGGCATTCAATGTTTCCTAGTGATTCTAATATTGAATATCAGTGAATAGTAAACTGCAAGAAATCACAGTTGAACATTTTTCCTTTTCATAAGCCCCCTTCCCTCGGCACTACTTGCGAATTTAAGTTTGAGAAAAAATACCAGTTGACAGCCGAAATTCATCGTTGTCAGGGAGGAAAACAAAAAGGTGGGGTTGAACAGGGACTGCCGAGTGTCCAATGGAAATAAAACCGAATTTGAAAAACACGGGGTTCTCAAATAGGAATGTTCGCAGCGCGTCAAAATCGGAATGTTAGATTTGCTTTTACGGAAACTTCGATCGCACTTACACTAGGAGGCGTCGTGATATACTCAATCACACTATACACAACTTTTTTGTTACCATGCATTCGTTTACTTTATATATATCAAAGGGTAAATAAAGAAGTATCAGGTTCTGATTTTGATTGTGTGTACCAAAAATGTGGAAAGTCGCCTTTGTTTATCGATTCCAGGATATTTACTTCGGAACTATTCTCAAATGCTTCGGGACACCCCAACAATTGTGTCAGGTTTCGAATCGTGTTTTACAACATAGTCTCATTTTAGTCTGGCAATCCAGGGTGAGGACCATTAAGCAGGCCAGATCTTTCATGATAAACTAACCTCATGTCAGCAAATAATGAAATAACTTTATCAATTAATTACTGAACACTAGGGTGCATTTGAAAAACTGTAATAAAACGCAATGATTTATGTCTGATATATATTAAATTTGGGACATAATAACCATAATAACAGCCATGTTGTCTTTCTGGGGCCGTGGTGGTCAATCGGTTAGGCTACCAAATTGTGACCCGGAAGTCCCTGGTTCGAACTTCTCCACCGCCGTCTGTCTTCCCTATTTCTGTATTTCACCAGGTAGTCTTTGTATGGCTGCAGCTCCCTTCCGGAAATGTAAATGTACATTTGTATATTCAATAAATAAAAAGGAGGTCAAAAGACAACCATTATTATTGATATTATTATTATTAGTGAGTGCTGATTTTGCGTCTATGAGAGAACTTGTGTCAAAACTGTTTGAGTCGAGGGAAAGAATCCAAAACCCTCATTTACTTGACCGATCTCACGGATTACGCGACAATTTTATGACTGTTTTCAATTGATCACTGAGTAACTCATCAACAAGCACTCGGTTTGTGGATAGTTTTATACTTGTAACTGCAGATGAGCAGATCTAAAGGTCGTCAGTTTTGCATTGCTACCGTACAATTTTTGGTAAGAAATCCGGGAAAAGAAATTGCTAATTTCTAAAGTAAATGATTAAAAAATGTCTTTTTAATTCCTTTTTCCATTTGTTGAATATACAGATGTACAATCAACTTTAAGGTAGGGGGCTGCGGCCATACAAAGGCTGCATGGGGAAAATACAGATATAGCGAAGACGGGCGGCGGTGGAGCGGCTTAAACCCGGAACACCCACGTCACTAGTTGGTAAGGATTACAACAAATAATGAAGAAACTAACTTTTCCAAGTCGCCTTAGATTATTCTTTAGAAAACAAAATATTAAAATGAAGACTATTAGCATTCAGTAGATCTCCGGCTGCATTTCGGTTTCCTTGACAAGCTTTGCACATTTGCATACTCCTAATACAGTCTCCCATGTATTATAAACGTGTTTCAAATAGAACAATATCCCGAAGGGCGGGACTGAATTTAGATTAAGAAAATTCGTAAAAACATTATCAATGTATGAGTTATAGTTCTGAATGGTAGTACTTTTGATGGGTTCTGTTAAGGTACTCATTCTCAGCATTTCATATTATTGTACGAGACGTTACACATTGTCTTTAATCTGTAACGGGACCAGCAAAGAGTGTTTATTGGGTGAGAGTAACTTCCATTTTCATCCAATTCTACCCTTCTCTCCTAAATGCATTGACCTGAATGCACCTTTTAGGACTTTGCTCATCTACGCCAGTCGTGGTGAACTTGAGCCTGAACCTCCGCAAAATCATAGTTGGTCACTAGGTGGTTCCCAAAGCACTTCGATACCAACAAGTCCTCTTCATATCAGTATGCGGTATGTAATTAAATCGGTGATTTCAGATGCACCCATTGCGCCTATGAATGGTCGACAGAAGATCGCTAGGATTTGATTTTTGCTCGGAAGTCTCACCTCCCCGCCAAATATCAACGTGTGCTGTTTGGCCAGATACTCGCAGGATTTATCTTCTGTATGCAATGAGGCTACGTGCTAGCATGTGATCCAGTTCGTTGAGATTACAGTCTGCGGTGATCTCAACACGAGATTTTAACTGAAGGTTTCTCTCTCCCCCTTTCTCGTGACATTGAAGGTGAACGAGAATCGTTTTCACCTTTTATGTGCTTAGGTTTTCGCAATCTTGAGGGTTGATGCCCGATTAAAACGCAGTCCGGCAGTTATACGTCTTGTCGGTTACTCTGGCCAGAAATGAGTCTGTCACAATAGATCACTAAATATTTCAGCTGCTAATTACTGCACAAAATAATCCACCAGTGCACAGATATACCGTCCACCCTTCAAATAACATGCGGATAGCCCATTGTGTTGACGGCAACCATTGCATTAGACTAACCAGTGGTCGTTGTTTAAAGTGATGCTCCATGATCGGGGTGGGTTATAGGGGCTTTTAAAGCATTTTCACTCATTGCAGAAATTTAGGAAGTCCTTGACTGTTTGTGGCTACTAAATGGTTGCTTTTTGAACAATATTAGTTCGTCAGCTTTATTCTCCCTCTCTATATCTCAGTACCCGTCAGTCGACCAATACCCAAAGAATTATATCTTTGGTTTGCGCTTTTTCTAATGATTTATATGTTGAGTTGGCCATCTTCCGTATTCCGGTTATTACTGTTACAATAATGTTGCTACGTGGGTGATCGTTGCTATATAAGAATCCTTTTTGTTATCATTCAAGGTGGTACAAAAGCTAATCCAAATTCGGGTGCATTTCAATGCGCCGATGTTGCATTATTTTTTCAACCGCATCGGTTGGGTTTTAATATGTTTGCAATTTCATAGTTAGCTTAAGGATTGATGTTAGAGCGAACAGTCCTATAATTTTATTATTGCAAATCACACTGTTTTGGAAAAAAACACAAGCAAAAGGTTTTTCGAGTGTTCCATTATTTGCGGTAACTTCTGCTCATGTAGCAGTTCTCGTGAGTTTCAACTTCCTCATATACATCTTGATGTAGTTAAGAAGGCATTGTTCCTCCCCGACCACAGTCTCGCTTAAACTTGAATGCAGGATGATGTTGGCGTTGGAGATATGGCTGAAATTGGTCCTAACCCCGGTAATCCTGAAATTGTTGAAAAGGGTCCCCTTCGAACGGCTTACTCTTTTGCAGCGAGGAGTGCCGAGGGAAGTGAATCAGATCAAAGTGAGTAAC